GGGGGGGGAGGACACACATACCTGCCTGGCTTGGCTGTTTGCAAAGGAGAAACAGTGGACGGGTCTCTAGCTCTGACACCTCCTGGAAGCTGCGCTGTGAGCCCCAGCAGTGAGCCTGAGGCCAACCCTCTTCGCATCCAAACGCAGGCTGTAGACAATTCCTTGACATTTAAGAATTAAGGATTTTAAGGGTTAAGAATTCTAATCAATCAAAACTACTTAAAACTAGTAAGGGTAAAAGGAAACAACTGTGTATGAAAAGTAGGTAAGAAAAGTGCAATGTGTTTTTTGGATGTAATAGGTATGGAAAGCATGTTTAAAAAAAACACAAAAAAACAAAAAAGCAAAAACAAATGCAGGCTGTAAATAGAAAACATTCACATTCCCTTCTTGCTTGTCTTTTTACTCAATTTAGCAAATATCTTATTGCCTTTGTTCATTCAATTNAATAGACATTCACATCCCTTCTTGCTTGTCTTTTTACTCAATTTAGCAAATATCTTATTGCCTTTGTTCATTCAATTACTCATTCAACAAATATTTGTGGAGTGCGTAATAGGAACTACATGCTGTAGACCAGTACACACACAAGTAAAATGCAGTCACTGTTTTCAAGCTATTGCCGGCTTAAGAAGAAAAAAAAAATCATAATAGCATAATTATATTTGAAATAGTTGTATAGATGTTTTAAGTCATATTGCAAAGCCACAAATAGAGAACATACTTTCCATTAGCAAGCGCAGGTTCTATGCCAGCCGCTTATACTAAACACATCATCGAATCTTTGCAAGGGCCTTGGAAGGTATTAGACAGTCAGTCGCACTAGGCTTACCTCCTTTGTCCAAACACCTCCTCACCATGAAGAGTTTGCTTAACCCCTTGGCCTGAATTAGGGCGGGAAGAGTGGTTTAGGTAAAGGAAAGGCTGTTAAAGGAAGAGGATGGTCATGAGAGGATTTCTTCCCCCTGGTAGGCGTGGTTGGGTAACCCTGAGCCTGTCTGCGCTGAAACCCTAGGTAGGTAAACTGTATTCTTGGTGCTGTGTCTGGAGCGTTCATCATGCCATCTCCTACCCCCCTGACCGTTGCACCCCCGGCAGTTAAAGCATTCCTCTTGGCGCAAGACTTGCAAAAGCAACGGTGGCATAGTTTCTTCTGGCCTCCTCCACAAAACAACAACAACAATAATAAGAAACATGGGTGTGAGAAGCAGAACTAAATGTTAGAACCCAGCCCCACAGACAAGGCATAAAATCACAAAGAAAGCTCCTGTGGTTAGCTTTGCAAAGTTCAGGTGAGGGTTAGATATATTCTGTCAGTTTATTTGCCTTTAGCTCAGGGTAAAGCAGCTCCTGGTTGCTGTCTTCATTGTGTCTCCTTTCGTCCTAATTTGCCCTTTACCCAGTGAGACTGAGGGCTTGTTTGGATTCTTGGGCTCTTCGGTACCCACGTGCCCTCTCTGGAGGTAGGTGAGCCGCTGATACCTATCTGAGTGAGAGCACAGGTTAGGAGCCCTCCCTCCCGCTCTCTCCCTCTACCTCTCCCGAAGAGCTAGCATTTCCCCTACTTCCAGGCCCCTCTCTGTATCAGTTACCTGTTGGAGTCTCCCTTGGTCTCATGAGCTACAGTTTTAACTGAGTCTTTATAGAAGAGGGACTCTGTCACATGTTTGGGGCTCTCAGCGGGGGTGTCTAGAATGTCTGGGACACCTGAGCCTTTCTCTGTACCTGATTTTCGTCCCAGGCATCTTCACAGCATGATGGTCCTAGGGGTCCAGGAGGGGAAAATGAAAGCTTCCGGACGTTCTGAGGCCAGGCTGGGAAGTTTGGCATCATTTCTGCAGCATTATGAGCTAAAACAAGTCACAGAGCTGGTCCGACTCAAGGGATGGGGAAACAGACCCCGCTGCTTCATGGAAGGAGCTGTAAATAATTTGTGGCCAAATTGAATCTACCACCCTCCCTTACTCTCCATCTTCATCAGCCTAAAATGATGACCCTACCTTCTCAATATCCTGAACTATTGATCTACCTGAAATCCCCTGGAGCTCTGCTTTTATATTTTTCTTGGTTCTGGGTCCTAAGGTTGCTTATAGCAACAACAGTTCTTTAACTTAGCAGGTTCTTAAACAAAATTTCCCCCCTTTTAGCACAAGTATGTCCCATTGCAATATTTGAGACATATATTAAAAATGAAAACAAAACCCCTCTCCTCGGTTGAGTCTTCCCAGGGGCATGAGTGATGAGGCATGAGGTGACATTTCTCTAATACCCTAGATTTTCACTTCTCCCACTACTTCTTTTTCCACTGTAGCCCATGCTCACAGAGCTTGAAGTCCCTAAGCCCAGCTGGAGATGGGTACACACATACTTTGCCTGGCATGAAACCCAGCTGGCATGATAGTTTTAGTGCTGTGACCGAAGCCTGACATTCAGTCCTAGGCAAACAGTTCTCATGGTCACAAGAGGCACCCTGTACCCTTCCTGCCTCACCAGGGTCTCGAATTGGCCTCAAAGAAAGACGTTGGCGATAGAGAAGCAAAATCCATTCCTTCTATTTGAAAATAAAATACTGTGCTGTACAGTCCAAGGATCACTGCCTTTTTGATGAGTGGCACTTTTTCAACTTTTAGCACTATAGGCCAATAGTGGAAATCGGGGGCCCTTTCTTTTCGAGGCGCCCGATGGAAGTTGTAAGTGGCCCGTTCGCTGACGTGTCCTCCCTCTCCCCTCTGTTTTGCCCTGTTCACTGGATATTCGTGGTGGGCCACCAGGAGGACGGCCCCTGCCCGGGAGTTGGGGAGAGCACGCTCCCAGCCACCGCACTGGGCCATGCGTTTCTCTGCTCAGGGCTCCTTTGAAACCGGGCCTGGCGGCAGGAGATGTGTGGGATGCTCTGAAAAGCCGCAGGAGGCCTGAATTTCTCCTCCGGCATCTTCCTTGGGACTCCTTGTCTCAAATGCACAACATGCTGCTTTCCTTTATGAAAAACTGGAATTTGGGCCTTTGGAGGGTTGAAAAGAGGAGGGGGGAGCGCTAGCAACTCGGCGGGGGCGGGGCGGAGCGGGATGCCTGGGGGTTCCAGCGCAGCTCCCCCAGCCCGGCCTGCTTTTCAGCTCCTTTCAACCGGCTCCC